CTCTTAACTTTTTTAAAGAATATCTCTTTGGTTTTGAGACTTTAGTCTTTGCAACTTTACAGATCTTCTTTATGCACCAAGAGCTTGTAACACTCCAAAGAGAAAGGAAAAATTGAAATCGCATCATATGACCACTTTAAAGGAAAACCACCGACTCACCTTCATATAGCCTTGTCCAAGTCATACACAAGCCATTAACTCGTGTCTTATAATGCTGCTAAAGGCTAAAGTTACTAGTTAACAGACTAAAGATGGCATAGCCTGACAGTTAAACATTTGGATTGACAGCTGCACAAAGTTTGAAGCTTGAAATATCACCTCTGCCTAGATGTTTAAAAGAACTTAAATCAGATTTGGTCATCGGATTGGATCAAATCTAGTTATTAGATTAGATTGTTTTGACCTGGATCAGACATTCAATATGTGTTGTTTAAAATGTTTTCTATTAAGCCTGTCTGTCTTAATATATACATATATATATACAGTGGTGTGAAAAAGTGTTGTCCCCCTTCCTGATTTCTTATTTTTTTGCATGTTTGTCACACTTTAATGTTTCAGATCATCAAACAAATTTAAATATTACACAAAGATAATGCAAGTAAATACAAAATGCAGTTTTTAAATGATGATTTCATTTATTAAGGGAAAAAAGCTGTCCAAACCTACGTGAAAAATCAATTGCCCCCTCCTGTTAAATCATGAAAGAACTGCAATTAACCACATTATTTTAGAAAGCTGAGTTAAATTTCACTAGCCACACCCAGGCCTGATTACTGCCAGACCTGTTGAATCAAGAAATCACTTAAATAGAACCTGTCTGACAAAGTGAAGCATATATATATATATATATATATATATTACCTGTCATTTATCACTGTATATTAATTACAATGACACATTTATCAGAGATAAGTCAGTCAAAAGTAGTTTCTAACAGTTTATTCATGCATCCTTTATTGCATGTTTGTTTGTTGTGTGTCACATGAGGCGTCAGACTGTTTAAATTAAACCGAGAATGGAAGGGCATGTTTATATTATTGTACTTACTCTGTTTTTTTTTTTTTTTTTTGATTTAAAAAAAGAAAAAGAAACCATGCATAGCTAGAGCTAGCAGCCTACATTGCAATGTGCTGTCCCATTTAGAACACTGATTATCCAGTCTGGTGGGGTTTGTATCTGAGGGGCTAATTCCAGATAGCAAAGTTTGGGATTTCTAAATCTGGATTATTCTGATCCACATTAAACTTTTTGAAGAACTAACTGGGCCAAGTGTATTCTTGATCAAGACACCAAAGCTCTGGTTACGCCAGGAAGATTGAATGTGAAATAAGTGAAATAAACATGTTTGAGCATCATTTTTTTTTCTTTCAGGTTACAGATTCTAAATCTCGCCGTGGTGGGCGGAAAGGCAGCACTTCCTCCTCATCTTCCTCCTCTAGTTCTGTGGCTCCGGATCCACTCAGCTCAATGTTGGATGGAACCGACCCACTGTCTCTCTTCGCTGTGGTGTCTGAAACACCAACTCTCCCACACAGCATCTCTGCTGGGGTAAAATTCACAAAATTCAAAAACGCACTCAATTTTTAGCCTACCATATGAACGTTTCAAAGGTACTTCAAAAATTTCATGGTATGAATAAATATTATTGAATTTTAATTATGTATATATGTCATTTTTATTTGAATGAGCTATAACTTTAAGTATTTATGTAACTGTCATTGTTACATTATCTGTTCATGGTTAAAATGATGTGACTGTGAACACAATTATGATCCATTTATGAAACATTTGTTAAATGTGGTCTTTTTCACTTTTACTATTTTGTTTTAGGAGCTGGGACGGAAACGTAAGGAGAAAGAGGAGGAAGTGGGCTCAGACTTTGAGCTGTGGTCATCTAAACGTGGAGAGATCCTGTCTAGGTTCACCACCACAGAGAAACTGTCTATAGTAGGTGCAGCGCTTTACAGCTCTCTCTCATCCTGTCAGACTTTACTTTTGACAGATTATAATGAAATTGTTATTTCTTTTACAGAATCTCTTCATGGGCTCAGACAAGAGTGAGTTCATCAGTTTTTGAAGACTCTTTTTTTATTTTTTCTTGGTTTGTAGTAGGCTTGCCGCGATAGACGGTGCTGACGGTGATACCGGTGTTAAGCCGCAACACCGGTTACGTCACTTGCATCACCGACCCCCACCGTCGTTTTGATTTTTTATAGTAATAAAAATCATTTAGTTCAGTAAAA